TCCATTAAACCAAGTACAGAGACGTTAAACCAAGTGAAAGACAGAGCTAAAATACAAAACCTATGAAGGTAAATTCCAAGAACTGAAACTGTTCTCTCTGAGCTATCGGAGGATAAGAGTTGACCAAAAAATGAAATATAACATTTGAGACATGACAACCCATCAAACCCGAGCATTTGACGAGAATATTACCGCCACACTCCTCGAGACAACTCACGGCAGGTTGCATATCAGAGAATGAACACCAAAGCACGCCCCCACTTTTTCCCATTACGAGTTGCCCCCATTTCGAATGCTCTTCCAGACAAAGTTATCACAGCCCTATCAGTGGATAGCCTTGAGAGGAAACTTGACAAATACGTACTCACCCATAGATTACTATCACCTTCCTGAACCAACTATGTCCAAAGCATGTCTCATAAATTACCACGATTGTCATTACCACATATCAGTAAATACTTCTCACCCCAATGATTATCATCGCCGTTTCCCTTCTTGTTCGTTTAATTCCGTTTTCGTCAACATTATTAATTAATTAGTTAACTTATTTAATTGGTTGTTGAAACAGTCCTCTTCTCTTAGCACTTGAATTATCGCTTTATTATTTTCACATTGCAACCAATCAACCTCTTTCCTAGTAATGTGGTAGTTTCTGATACCAAAAAACCCTTCTGTTCTGAGACAAGCGTACTCACTCAAACTACAATATCTACAAATCCATAAATAACTACCAAATTGACTAGAATTAGAGCCACCGTGCAGTTAGACTACCATCCACTAGACATTATCGAATACTTAAAGCCGTGCCGAAATAACAAGAGGTGAGTGCAAAGAAATCAATTAGTTTTTACAAGATCGTCACAAATATATTAGCGATACTGGAGATTCTGCGCATAGTTTGGAATGTGCGTTACTCAACAGGGCGACTGCATATGTATTATATTCTATCGGTTTCAACATATGATCACCAGTTTTACTTATAATGGTTGAATATTACTGAATCTTGGGACAAAATTTACTAATTTGGGTGGATTCTTGGAAAATAATCCTTAGTCTTGTAAATCGACACTTAACGTAAAGTGACATGACACCATGATTCATACAGTTCTACGAATTATAAAGATTGAAATAAACATCTCATAGAATATTCGACTTTGAATTCATACAGTCGTTTCACTTAGCACTTATATTCTAGAATATGATTGATTCTAGCTAGGATCATTAGTTTAAGTAGTTAACATCCCTGTATAAACTAATAGCTATTAATACTAACTCTATTTTCATTCCAATCCATCTCGTATCATCTAAAGATACTCTGTGTCTTATTTGTGGTCGGTCCTAACTCCTTAGCTATCTGGTATTATTCTTGTTGTTACTTACAAGGGCTATAGTTTTGATTCTTAAGTGAAGCAATCTAAATTTATCATGATAACATATATCTATGGTTATATAATTATGTAAATAAAATCTAAATATTAACTGTATTGCCTCAGAATCTCTCGTCTATTGTTCCTGGGTTTAATGAGCGAACAACCATATTGAGGAGTGAAGTGCTATGGTTTGGTTTTAAATGCCCTAGAACTTGTTAATTGTTTATGTGGAAAATGTTAACATGACAAACTTTATTGTTTCTGGTTGCAAACTTAGCTGTTTTATCATTAACAAACGACGTTTTGCCATTAGAAATAAACAAATATATCAGGCCATTTCTGGTCTTCTTTTGAAAATTTAAGCATGAACTGTTAGTTGCGTTGGGACGTCTGCTTTATTTTGCGTGTACTTTTGTTATCTTCACATTAATTAGATACCAGGGAATTTTCAGTTGACATTATTTGATCGCTTGTTATCTTCGTGTTTAGCCTTTGTACTGTAATAGTGTTATCAAAATGTTGATATCACATAAAGGTAGAAATTGTATTTCCTTGTCTGAGAAAGTCTTGTGGTCAGTCAGCAATAGTCAGAGAGGAGAAAATATACCATGTCTTTACTTGAATGGAAATCGTAGGTTCACATATTAGGCCTCAACCAAATATATTCAAGGGCAGCAAGTTTTATGTTCCTACATATATAAATGAATAAAATAAAGACCTTTTAAGAATGCAGTCGTTGATGTACATAGGTACTGTGCTAGAGTACTCAGACTACGTAGTTTTATTTGGTAAAAAGATAATAAAATACAGTCTTCTGATCGCCTTTAACAACAGTGCAATCATTATTATTATTAATTTATTTTAACACATAGATGTTGGTACAAGATGGCACCAAGTACATATGCGCCACACAAATCTCATTTGATATGTGTGAGGACTGTGATACTGACCGGGTGCCCAAACTGAAGCAGTTGGTTTCCTTAGGAGGCCACATCCGGAGCCTTCGATCTGAAGGTCTGATTCACAATGCAGTGGAACAACGTTAGGAGATGCTGTACATTTGTAGGTGGTGACCAACGATCGGTTCATACGCTATTTGTTCCTTCAGGATCCTGGAGCCAGCCCATATGCACCATTGGTTTGGAATCAGGGTTTTCCAACTCCCCTAGGTGTATACTCCATATCCACCAACTTGGTTAATGCGTCGGACATTCACTTTCCGTCCTCTCAATTTCGTAAACAATACCCCTGCCACGAGAAGGCGATAAGTAGGACTTCCCTGACAGAGGCTATATAAGCGTGGCCATGTGAGAGCATTTCGAGAGGTAGAGCGAACTCTCTTCACTCTTGGCCGTACCAGGGTAATCATGTTTTGGCTCCGTCTCTCTCTGAATTTTAAGTGCTCCAACGATATCGATGATATGATGGAAAGAAAAATCCATTTTCGATTGATTTACTCATTGTGAGTTTCATTCAACATTACATCCATTCTAATTCAATATGATGATCATTCACTGTAGCAATTGTTTTTTTTTCTCGTATGATATTTTATTCTGTATAATATACGATATTCTTGTATTCCATGGATACGAACTATGGCCAGTCTGTGATTTGTTATAAATCTAAGTATTTTTCATGTATGTGATTTAATCCTAATTATTAATCAAAAATGGGTGTAAAATCAACATATAAACCAGTGTATTTTAGACTTTTGATCATCGTTGTCGTCGTGCTTTGGGGCTAATAAATCTTCACTTATACCAGTCTTGTGTTATTACTTTCGCATCGTGGGAATTTCAGGGGTCCCTCGTTCCGAGTATAAGTGATCAGCGATTTTCCAGCACAACAATTGCTACGACCAAATACAACAAACGAGGTTAGACATAACCAGGCTTAAATCGGAAGTTGCTTAATAAAGACGCTTATGTTTTTTAACTGAAGTGCTTGAGGCATATGCTTAATCATCGCGTACTCTAATAATGGTGAGTGAAGTCCGAGAAGATTGTAAAAAGCTTAAGCATACCCAATGTAAGACGTGGCATGAGCCCGCGGTCACTGACAGTTCATCTTAGCCGCGTCCGTTGGTGTACATTACTTAGCTAGGGTCCACTCCGTAAACATGATCAGTGGTTAAAAATGTTAGGTGACGACTCTAAATTATTTAGAGTAGCCCAGATTCATTTGTTATTTATACTCCTCTTGATTTTAGGTTTCAACATTCCAATACTTTTTATTTCGCTTGTTTTCGAACCACATTTTTGCGTTTATCTCCTTTTTATCATCAATACAAGTACTATTTTCTCGATGCTTTGATTGTTATCAATTTTATCTCTGTACTAATTATCTTATGTGATTGTAATTTGATATATATTTGTGCTGCGTCCTACATTAATTATGACTAACTGATAACCTAAAATCGAGTACCTAAATTATCATAGAAAATCGCCACTGTGACAGCCTACAATAACTGATATTAAACAAGCCAATAGTGTCTCAGCTTTAATACTTTTAACTAATTATGTTCACGAACTGTCTAGTTTATGCCAAAAGGTGTGTCATTACAACTTATTCTGTATGAAATAAACTAGCAAATGTTTGGTGGTTAGAGGTATTTGACGGAAAACAAGGTTGGGGTTCCTACGTGGAGTATAAATTCCCTTAAAATGGAAGGTACGCTTTACTGACAAGTGCCTATTAGCACAGAACGTAGGCTCAGGTTTTTTCTGCAATATATATATATATATATATATATATATATATCACATTTGTTTCGTAACAACCTACCCTAAATAGTTAATTGAACTGTGGTAGGCAGTATAAATTGTTAACCTATATTCCTTCTCTAAAGACATCTAGACTGTTGGATCAGCGAATCCTCAAGTCATCATTATTCATTTATATCTCTAAAGTATAATGTAACTCATGCCCCCAAATGCCCTGGTACGACCGAGAGTAAGGAGAGTCCGCTCTACCTCTGGAAATGCTCTCACATGGCCACGCGTATATAGCCTCTGCCAGGGAATTCCTACTTATCGCCTTCTTGTGGCAGGGGTATTGTTTACGAAATTGAGAGGACGGAAAGTGAATGTCCGACGCATTAACCAAGTTAGTGGATATGGAGTATACACTTAGGGGGGTTGGAAAACCCTGATCGTTGGTCACCCGCCACCATGGGACTACATCTCCTTACAATGCTCCACTGCCTTGTGGATCAGACCTTCAGATTGAAAGCTCCGGGTGTGGCCTCCTAAGGAAACCAGCTGCTTCAGTTTGGGCACCCGGTCAGTATCACAGCCCTCACCCATATGAAATGAGATTTGTGTGGCGCATATATATTTGGTCCTTCTTTGTACCAATATCTATGTGTTAAAATACATAAATAATAAATGTAACTCACAGACAGTTTAGCAATTTAATGCATCTCATAAGATAAACGAACCATCGAATTTATTCAGTTTGTTTTCTACACTTTTTTCAATGATTTATTTGTACCTAACTTTTGATATGTCAACATTTTCTCGATAGTAACAAAAAGCATAATACTTTATCTCTTCATTTAGATTATTTTGCAAATTACCTGTGTTCAAGTACAAATTTCATAATTATGTATTCATATATATACCCATATATATGTTTATTTATGCACTAATGTTTAATGAAAGTAAAAAACGAATGATGGACGATTATCAACAGTTAAAAAGTAAATATGAAAGATTATGTGTGGAATTCAAAAAGGTTTGTTGTTTTTCATATTGTTTACATCAAATTGTCTACTTTTGTAGCTTCGTTCAAAGTATAAAACGTTTAAAGACAATGAAAATGAATTAAACCAACAACTACAGGTAAGTATTCGGGTGTAACTTTTTCCTTTAGTTGTATCATTTATGTAATATTCGATGACTTCGAAGTTATTAAAATGTTCCAATCAAGAGTTCAGATAATGGATTGATCTCAGACAAACATTCGAAAATAGGAAGCACTAAACAGCTGTTTCATCCTTATATAAAGCTTCTCGACAATCCCCACCCATCATCTGATCAATGACTAAACCCAGGACGTCCATGTCCCGCGACGAGCGCTTAGCATTTAGAACACTTATTCTGCATTCACTGGTTCACGTGTCTAGTCTTGATAAATTCCTTATTTTGGGCAACCCCTAATCCCACTGGTAGGTAACTGCTTCAAACTTGATATGCTGTTCATGAGTTCTCGCTAAAACTTCGGAAGTTACTTCTTAGCATGTATTACTGTCAAGCTCCTGCCAATGAACATGAAGGTTCTGGGTTCGAGCTTTAGTAAGGTAGGTGCAGGCTGTTAAGGAGTCCCATAATAAGATACAACATCTGTTCAGCGTCATCTAGTTTTAATTGGATATTTTAATTTATTTCTTTAGACACATAAACATTGGTACAAGAAGGCACCAAATACATATGGACCACACAAATCGAATGATTTGTGTGAGAACTGAAATATTGCCCGAGCGCCCAAACCGAAGCAGGTGGTTTTCTCAGGAGATCACACCACGAGCCTTTTACCTAAAGGTCTAATCCACAAAGCAGTGGAACAATGTCAAGAGATGTAATCCCATGGTAACCGGAATTGAGTTCATACACTATTTGTTCCTTCAAGATACTTGAGCCCATATGCATCATTGGTTTAGAATCAGGATTTTCCAACTCTCCTAGGTGGATCCTTGATATCCACCAGCCCGGTTAAAGCGTTGAATATTCTCTTTTCGCTTTTTTCAATTTCGTAAACAATAGTAATGCTACGAGAAGACAATGAGTAGGACTTCCATGACAGTGGCAGTGGCGAGCTAACTAACATTGGATTATTATTATTATTATATGCATACAATTTATTCATTATTCATTCATTATTTTCTTTTAAAATTTAATAAAATATATAGGAGAAACTAATACAAAAAGATTTATATATTGAAAAATTAAAACAAGAAATTGAACAATTAAAATTAAACAATCATAATATTTCTATTAATGGGCTTACAAATGAAAATTCAACAAAATTATCATTATTATTAAATAATATTAACAAGGATAATGATCATTTAAGTCTTATTGATACTGTCAATGTAAATGAAGTGGTAAAGAAATCTATCATTACTCAGGTTAGTAATATGTGGTGTTTTTTTGTTAAGAAAAAGTATTTTTTTCTTTTGGTTTAAATATGTGAAGCTTCCAAATGGCTCAGTACGATCGAGAGTGGAAAGAGTCAGCTTTTGTTCTTGAAATGCTTTCAAGTGGTCATGTGCATACAACCACTACCAGGGAAGTGCTACTCATTGTCTTCTCGTGGCGGAGGTGTTGTTTACGAAATTAAAAGGACGAAAAGCGAATGTCCGACACTTTAACCGTGTTGGTGGATACGGATAATCCATTTAGGGGAGTAAACCCTGAGCACGTTTACAATGGTGCAGGTGCATCCACTCTTTGTGTTCTCCCAAATTCTAATCTTCTGAATTCTTTATGTCCCTTTTTTTCCTCTTTCGAAATTTATTTCAGGAGATTATACTCCTTGAATAACATCTTGAAACCCTAATGTTTCCGATTACTGCTTATACTCTTACTACCTCTACCACTATGAGATTTGGATCGACAACAGCATCTCTGTGCTAATGTGGTATGGCAACTCGAACTGATGTACATACGTACGAAGTTCTATGTTGTTACTGACTGAATGAAACTCTGAGCTCCAGGATCATGACGGAACAAATGGTGTATGAAGCAATTATTGGTCACTGGTTACCATGAGACTGCATCTCCTGACGTTGCTCCACTGTCTTGTGGATTAGACCTTGTTATAGCTCGAAGCCGCCAATCAGAAGAAGCGAATTATCGATTGGACCAAGGACGCGTAAAACACGTGCGAGCAGCCTAGAGTCCTGGCTGGTCCTGCTTTCCGCCTAACCCAACCAGTTAAACCCAGAACGCCTATCTCAGCCCCTGCAATATGAATCATATCTCAAACATACTGAGTTTATATACCAATCAAACAGACCACAACGTACCAATAAAATATGAAACAACATTTGTACAAGAATTAATCAGATGTGGCTGTGAATGTAGGAGGTAGCAATTAATATACTGGGTATAACTCAAGAATGGTAAAACGTATAATAACGGTTCATAAGTCAAAATAAAGCTTATAATAAGTGGAATATGAATATGCATAGTTTAGTTACTTAATAATTATACAATAGAAATATACGTTTAGTATTGGTCCCCATCAATAGATCCCAAAAGTTACCATTCATTATTCTTTTCGGGACATAACAGACCTTTAGGTCAAAGTTTCGGGGTGTGACCCCCTAAGAAAACCACCTGCTTCGGTCTGGGCACCCGGGAAGTATCACAACCTTCACACAAGTCCGATTTGATTTGTGTGGCGCATATGTATTTGGTGCCTCCTTGTACCAATATCTATGTGCTCAAATAATAATAATAATAATAATAATAATAATAATAATAATAATAATAATAATAATAATAATAATAAAATTTTTAATAATTATCTTCTGATACTCATATATACCAACTTATTATTTTAACTGAATAGGAAGTAAATAATAATTTGCATCAAACGACACTATCAGATGCTTCTTATACACCTATTCATATCACAAAACATAATTCATTTCCCATGGTAACTAATGATAATTCAACAAATTCGATTCTATCATCTCCCACTGATATTTGTCATGATATTATTGTGGATACCTATAATAAATCATCCAGTTTAAATTTACTTCCATCTAAATCTTTATTATCATCATTATCATCAAAATTACCATCTTCATCTTCATCATCATTTCTATCTGAAGATACATTAATGATAACAAATACAACAATATCTATCCCTACAACTTCTACTCCTAGTACTACTACTTCTATTACTACTAGTACTACTACCACTACTACTCCTATTTCTACTCCTAGTACTACTACTACTACTTCTACCCCCAGTACTACTACTTCTACTTCTACTCCTAGTACTACCACTACTACTACTTCTACCCCCAGTACTACTACTTCTACTTCTACTCCTAGTACTACTACTACTACTACTTCTACTTCTACTCTCAGTACTACTACTACTACTACTTCTACTCCTAGTATTACTACTTCTACTCCTAGTACTACTACTCCTATTTCTACTCCTAGTACTACTACTACTACTACTACTTCTACTCCCAGTACTACTACTACTACTTCTACTCCTAGTATTACTACTTCTACTTCTACTCCTAGTATTACTCCTTCTATTTCTACTCCTAGTACTACTACTTCTACTCCTAGTACTACTTCTACTTCTACTCCTAGCACTACTACTACTTCCACCTCTACTCCTAGTACTACTACTACTTCTACTCCTAGTACTACTACTACTACTACCCTTAATCTTTCATCTTCTTATGATCAAGATTGGACATTCATTGTAAATACAGAAGAGAAATTAATTGAACAATTTGTACAATTATTAAATAATTGGATCAATTCATTAAAAACAAATCAAAATTTATCATTTATAAATAAAGAAAAAATAGATCCTATTCTTATGAATCGTATTACACAATTAGAAAGTCAATTATGCGAAATTTCATTACAATATCAATTGGAACGTAAACGTCGATTAAAAGAACAATTAGTTAGTTAAATTGTCATTTACTTTTTAATTTGAACATAGTTAATCATTTATTCTTTGTATTCTATTTAAGGATTGGGTTTCAGAAACTTTTGTAAGAGTGTCAGTCAATTAGTCAGTTATGACAACATGATGACTGACCCCAAATACCCGGGTACGACTGAGAGTGGGGAGAGAGTCAGCTCTATCTCTCAAAATGCCCTCACATGACCACGCGTATACAGCAGTCAGTCAGTCAGTCAGCTACAACGTAAGACCAGGCACATATGTGCATCGGTCGAGGTTGCCATACCGCACCACCACAACAAAATGAACACCGGATTCATAGCAGTGGTTAGGTCAAAGGTAGTAATATATAAGAGAAAGATTGCATATAGAGATATAGTACAGCCACTGTCAGAGAAATCCTACTCACTATTTTCTGGCGGAACCATTGTTGCTTACGAAACTGAAAGGATGATTCACCTAGTGGAGTTGGAAAACCTTCATTCCAAACCAATGGTGAACATGGGTTTCAGGATCCTAAGGAAACAAATGATGAATGAACCAATTATTGGTGACCGACTATCATGAGACTGCATCTCCTAACGTTGCTCCACTGCCTTGTGGATTAGACCTTTAGATCAAAGGTTTGGGGAGTGACTTCCTAAGAAAACCATCTGTTTCTTTTTGGGCTCCCGGGCAATATTCTAGCTCTCACACATATCGAATGTTGTTGTGTGTTATTTCCTAGTTGCGCACACTGTGAAAAAAATACTTTCTATTGAGGAACCTGAAAAGGAAATCGAATCAGGTGTAGTTTTAATTAACTGACAAGAGAGCTTATAGTATAACTACTCGAGATCAATCACACACTGATCTTTCTGTAAGAAGTTTGTAATGTGTTAAACTCATACTTTTTAGAATTTAATCGCCAGTAACAGAAATCCATGGAGTAATATATCACCTGGTTATTTTAGGGCTAATCTTGTTTAGTTCTTCTGTCCCTTTTGGTAAGGTAGCATCGCTACAAATGCTGATTATCTGAGCAAATCACCTTACTGCTGTTACTTACCAGTACAGTCGACAGTAGGTTTTCACTCTCGAACCTTATGTTTGCTGCTCACACTCTTATTACTCCCTAACAGACTTGTCTGGTATAGTAGGACCCTAAAAAACGATTGTTCCACCTAATATTTCCGGTTGGCTCGCTGTTACTGCGAGTTGGAATGTAATAATTGTGTACATCTATTGTCTTTCGATTTTCGAGTTTTCTGTAATAACTCTCCTTTACAACATTCCTACCTTAAATTACGTAATGATTTTTTGTGTGTACTGTATGTTCAATTTTATTATTATTATTATTATTATTATTATTATTATTATTATTATCAAAGCAGTCCGAAACAAAAGACGACGCTAAGCCTATTGTTCACAATAGTCAGGTGAGTGATTCAAACGATCCTGAGCAATTATCTAATAGTAGTAATGGAAAATCTGATGAAACTCCTAATCCACACAAAGTAATAATGAAACGTTTACATAAAGCTATTGAAGAATCAATTTATTTCGCTTCAAGAGCTAATCTCTTACAGGATGAAGTAAGTTGACCCTCATGTCTAACATGATTTTTGTTTTATAAAATTAATAATAAAACATACTTATCAAAATTGTATGCTTTTGTAATTGTCCAGATTGTCCTCAAATACCCTGGTACGGTTGAGAGTGGGGAGAGTCCTCTCTCCCCTTTGAAACGCGCTCATATGGCCACGCATATTGATATGACGGGAAGAGAAGTCAAAATTCCCCGTCGCTAGTTGTTATATCTATAGATGCTTATATTCTTGATACGACACGTATAACTTGAGCACTTGGACTCTAGAACCCTTCCAAGTCACAATGAGAAGACTAGTGAAAGGAATGTTATTCCAGACAATGTCGACAAACTTGTCGAAATCACACTCATTTATTTATGTGATTTCATCCTAATTATTAATCCAAATGGGTATACAATCATTATATGAATGAGTGTGATTTTGACTAGGTCGTCGTCGTGTTTTGGGGTTAATAAATCTTCACTTACACCAGTCTTTATGTTCTTACTTTCGCATCGTGTGAATTGCAGAGGTCCCTCGTTTCGAGTACAAGTGATAAGAGTTTCCGACACAAAAATCAGCGACGACCAGATATAACAAGTAAGCATTAAACTGACAACTTATAACAACTGACGATGGCGTGAAAAAAAGAGCCAAGACAATCAGCATACAGAATTCTCTCTGGTGTCCGTGAGCGACATTGATTGTTAGTTAAGTCATACACTGTTTTTCATTACCGTGCTGATTCAGAAAATGGCTATCTCTTCCGATCAATTACAGTTGCTATTTAAGCGACAACAGCAGCGTTTCCAAAAGAGGTAGTTCAATGTTCTAGACAATTCACGCACACGGCTGCTAAATCATCCATGTTTTGGAGATGTGACAATTGATAAATTAATTTCTAATTTGTATACAGAGTTGGAAAATGACTGCAGGATGTATGAACGTATTGATGAAAGCTTCACTGAATCCTTGATAAGCGGTAATGTAAACGAAGTAGTAGCAGTCATTCATGATCCGCCTAGTGGTCCAGAAATGTCTATTTCAGAGACATGCCGTGTCGTGGGTTCAAATCCCATTGTCCCCAAAACACCATGTACAAACACTGACTTCTCCAGCTCACAGAAAGACGACGTCCATCAGGGAAGTTCTACTCACTGCCTTCCTGAAGTGGGGGTGTTTTTCACGAATTCGGGAGGGCGAAAAGCGAATATTCGACGCCTTAACCGGGTTGGCGGATATGGAACATCCATCTAAGGGAGTTCGAAAACCCTTATTCCAAACCAGTGGTGCACATGGGCTCCAGGATCCCGAAGGATCAAATGGCGTATGAACCAATTATTGGTTACCTGCTATCATGAGACTACACCTTCTGATGTTGCTCCATTGCCTTGTAAATTAGACCTTTAAGTCAAATGCTCAGAGTGTTTCACCTTAAGAAGACCACCCGTTTCGAATCGGGCACCTAAGAGTATCCCAGCTTATACACAAATCAAGTGACTTGTGTGTCGCATATTTATTTGGTGCCCCTTTGTACCAATATTTATGTGTTCAAATAAATAAATTGAATTTACTGACAAGGAAACAATCATTTGTTACTTATCACAGATACATTTTTATGCAAAATTTATGTTAATTAGTTATTTATATGTCTATATATTGTTAACAGTGCTACTTGTTCATTGTTGATAATATAAGTCAGACCTTCAGTTTCATGATCAATAATAATAACAATAAAAAGTAACCAATTAGAATAGTGAATGTTGTCCATTTGTACACAAACGCTAATACACCTTGTAAAAGTCTAGTTTTGTGTGACATTTTGTCGGATACTATCTCTCTCTCTCTCTCTCTGTCTATTATCATGTTAACGATTAGTTTCATTGATGATAATTTAATGAAGTCGTACTGAATAAGTTTTCATTGTACGTCCGTGATACACATTCAATTAGTTAACCATAAGTAATATGAAACATTGTGTGTAAGTTCAAGCTGTTACATCTTCATTATATATGTGTGCAAAGTTAGCTATTAAATCAGAGATAAACTACCAGGGTATTTGTAATAATTAAGGTGAACACCAAAGCCACTTTACTAACCGATTATTGAATGTTTCAAATGTATATAGCCGTTGTTGACTAAGGCATACTTCATTAGCTATACTACAAATTCTTAAGGCTCATTTTACACTTTTCTATTCTATTCATAATCAACCAATTGATAGGTAAAATCCTCACCATGGGATTATGAAAATTGCTCAGTTTTTTATTAAGATCATGAGTCGATCGATGTTAGATCACCATTGAACACCTGGAAGCAATCAACAGCCATTTCATCCTAGTATGGAACTGATAAGCAGTGCGTATCCATGATCGTACACGCGGAGCTCGAACCCAGGACCGTCGATCTTGCGCATAACTACTTAACCTCTAGACTACTGAGTTGGCATCTAACGGTATTAATACCTAACCTCAACCAATCCATGAAATTGTTCTATCATCCATTGTACTGAGGTAGATACCTGTCTCTTCAACCAACACCAAGGTCAGAATTTTCAATACAAATGTCAAGACAGTTCTACTGTATGGGGCGGAAACCTGAAGAACTACGAAAGCTATCATCCAGAAAATACAAGTGTTTATTAACAGTTGTGTACGCAAAATACTTCGGATCCGTTGGCCGGACACTATTAGCAACAGCCTACTGTGGGAAAGAACAAACCAGATCCCAGTGGAGGATGAAATCAGGAAGAAGCACTGGAAGTGGATAGGACACACATTGTGGAGAGCACCCAACTACGTCACAAGACAAGCCCTCACATGGAATCCTCAAGGCCAAAGGAAAAGAGGAAGACCAAAGAACACATTACGCCGGGAAATGGAGATAGACATGAGAAAAATGAACAAGAATTGGATAGAACTAGAAGGGAAGGCCCAGGACAGAGTGGATTGGAGAATGCTGGTCGGTGGCCTATGCTCCATTAGGAGTAACAGGCGTAATAATAATAATAATGATGATGATGAGATACCTATCTCTACCTGACACAGATATTAGCTTCACTCACTAGTCTTTGTTTAAACACTATTCTGATCACTATTTTGATCATTTACTCTCTTCATCTATAAGAATCATAAATATATTATTGTTTTGTCTTATTATTTTTTTTAAGTTAGAATCTCTTATCCCATGGATATTACAACTTCTTCATTTACATCAAAAACAACAATATGAAATGAAAACAATGAAACAATATAATGAACAATTAAAACAACAATTAGAATCAATTAAAACAAATACAATTAAACAAATTAATGAAATGGCTAAACATATAAATAATTTAACTGAAGAATTACAAACAATTCGATTAAATTCATTAACAAATCATCATTCTCATAATAGTTTTAATAAAGAACAACAACAACAACAACAATCAAATTGTTTATCACTTCATTCAAATGATAATCAAGTTAAGAAAGTAAGTAATACTGTTATTATTGTTGTTGTTAACATAACTAACTTTGTACATGGAGAACTGCCCTGTTTAGTAGTGTCCCCAAATCCCCTGGTACAGCCGAAAGTGGGTCGAGTTCGCTCTCCCTCTCCAAATGATTTCATACGTCCATGCGTATACATCCACTGTCAGGGAAGTCTCACTCACTGCCGTCTCGAGACATTACTGTTGTTTATGTGATTGAGAGGAAGAAAAAGCGAATGTCCCACGCTTTAACTGGATTGGTGAACAGTGAGGGTTCATCTAGGGCAGTTAGAAAACCCTGATTCCAAACCAATAGTGCACATGGGCTCCAAGATCCTGAGGGGAATAAAAGGCACATGAATCTAATGTTGGTGACTGGCCACCATGGGACTGCATCTCCTTACGTTGCTCCATTGCCTTGTGGATTAGACCTTCCGGTCGGAGGTTCCAGGTGTAGCTCCCTAAGAAAACCACTTGCTTTAGTTTGGGTACCCGGTCAGTATCACAGCCCGTGCACAAATCAAATGACTTTTATGTGTCGCATATGTAGTCGGTGCCCTTGTGTACCAATATTTATGTGTCCAAATCAATAATAATAAATCAAAAATTAATTAGTTGGAAGATAGCTAGTTAAATTGTGTGAAACAACCCATTCCTCTATCTCCAATTGTATATGCATTAGAAGATTGATTTCTTCACTGACAACTAGAACTCATGAAGAGCATTGGATAACAGTTTTGTTCGGGTTAGAAACTATTATTTAACAGCACACAACTATGACCTCCATTATACTAAGACTGAATGTTGTTTAGTTCTCATGGTAAACCTGTTACAAGTCACCACATTTCCGATTTTCGATATATTAGAGTTTATACCAAATGTATCCATATTTCACAAATAATCATTCAACTACTTAATGTTTTTAGTTTATTTATTTGAACACATAAATATTGGTACAAAGAGGCCATGTGAAAGCACTTGGAGAGGGAGAGCGGACTCTCCTCACTCTCGGCCGTACCAGGGCATATTAAAGAATAGAAACCATTCAATGAGGAAAATTTTCTTTTCAATGAAGTTCTTTACTAAGATTAATAATTTAACATATATAGTAGTCTTTTAGAAAATAAAGCTAATTGTATTCTGACATAAATTGTTTGCAAATATCAAATATATTCAGTGGTTCGAGGAAGTTGGTGCGAACTCCTAAACACTTTGGTTTCATGTCATTCCAGTAGTTGTTAGCAAGACGAATCTGTATTCTTGAAGAAACTGACATTTTCTGTAGAATTCAAGCCCCCATCGTCTGTTCTTACAGGGGTTTTGCCACCGAATAACCTAGGTTTATAGTTTGCTCCCGACCAATTCAAGCTGCTTAACATCAAGATGCCATGTCTTTTCACTTAAACTAGTGGCCATATTTCAGCTTGATGAATAGAATTCGATGAACACTAAGGACTGGAAAACATAACATTCTTCACTACACAGTGGTCGGTCACTAGTAAATATAGAATAGTGAACGGAGGTTACGTAGTAGTCTGAATGCCAATAAGAAATGGGATTAAGACCCAGGTAGAGTAAGAGATTGAATATGGTACTTTTCTATACAGAGTTTAGGCTTGAATCAGTGGGTTACTTAAATGTCTGCAGTTTATAAGTTTTTGATTTTATGCAGTCTGAACCAGTTCTTCTGACTACATGGATGACTTTAAATGAGGATTTTGATGTCATGACATGATCAGGATTTACAACGTATTCAGGAATTGAGCTACTGATAGGCTAGCCTTCTCCATCTGAATAAAGAATGCATAGAGGTGTGTTTTGTATGGGCTTACTCTGTGGGGCCCATATGTGCCTCAAAGTCGGGTGGCTTGTCCCTAACACAACCCATAAATCCATTATCGACTATAAAAGTGTATACGAACTTAGATAAAGTTGGATTTTTCCCAAAAAACCCCAAAAATTTGTTGTTTTTTTCATCATCTTTACAGCGGTCTTATCGCCTCTCGATTCGATATTCATAAAGAAGATTATCTATTTGAATAACCTTTCACATTGTTTTACTTTCAAATTTCTAAGACGACGGACATTACCTGTTGAATTTTATCCAACTAATTGTTGGTTATGTCATCGATGCAGTTTTATCTAACCTTTGAGGATATAGAGTAAACTAAGTTCTTCCTCTAGCTCAGTGGAAAATTGTAGTAATAACAGTATCGTAGAGTTTTGCAAAGTTGTTTTATGCTCTATGTTTTGGGGATGTTAGATCCTTAGACTCAGAATCGATCACAATGGCGTCGGTGTATACACTCTCTGTCTTCCCTTAAACTAAGAGATTAACTACTTTTATGAATCCGGTGTCCATCTTGTTGCGTTAATGAGGTATGGCAACTTGGACCCATGTATATATGTGCCTGGTCCTACGTTGTAGCTGACTGACTGACTAGATCCCTAGAACTCACTTGGTAAATACCTTATTTTTGTAAATTTATTTTAAAAATTTGAATTTATTGTTTTCACGCCAAAAAGCGTTCATTTTCACCTTCATGTCATATTTCCCACTTGGGAAAATCTTAAACGTTATTAGTTTGTTGTATCTTCCAATATGTTATTTTGTGACGCTTCCCAAGGACAATTTTATGCTGTCTATATACGTTTGATTTGTGCCTCTTGTGATTGCAACTCCGCCTGGAGCGCGGATCGGCAAAGCAACAGCAGTATACCTACAATCGAAGAATGTCTGGAACTCAAAACAACTGTCTGTTAATCAACACCAAAGTCAGAATTTTCAATACAAATGTCAAGATAGTTCTACTGTATGAGGCGGAAACTTGGAGAACTACGAAAGCCGTCATCAAAAAGATACAACTGTCTATTAACAGCTGTCTACGCAAAATATTTCGAATCTGTTCGCCAGACACTCATCAACAACTTACTGTGCGAGAGAATAAACCAGATCCCAGTGGAGGAAGAAATCAGGAAGAAGTGCTGTAAGTGGATAGGACACACATTGTGGAGAGCACCCAACTACGTCACAACGCAAGCCCTCACTTGAAATCATCAAGGCCAAAGGAGGAGAAAAGGAAGACTAAAGAACACATTACGTCGAGAAATGGAGAAAGATATGAGAAGAATGAACAAGAATTGGATAGAACTAGAAAGGAAGGCCCAGGACAGAGTGGTTTATAAAATGCTGGTCGGCAGTCTATGTTCCATTGGGAGTAATAGGCGTAAGTAAGTATTGTGATTGCTCGTGATTTTGGCTGCTTGCGGAATATATTTCCCCATTTCGAACTTGAACTTCTCTCTTTATTTAACCGGGGGGGGGCGGGCTAGGACGCATCAGAATAGCTAACTTATTGATTTTTGGTCACAAAGTCTTTGTTCCGTTCTCATAACTAGGTAAACTCATAATCACTTCCAAATATAGCATCATATAAATCTTTTATGCGTATAATTAATAGTAAATTCATACTGTCATTTAATCATTTATCTCAATGGTTAAGAACATGAGTTAGTTGAAGCTAGACCATCATAGAAAACCTGGAAGCACTGGACGGCCGTTTCGTCCTATTGTGGGACTTCTCAGCAGTGCACATCCACGACCTTGCCCTCTGTGAGATTCGAATCGAAGACCTACTGGTTTCGTGCGCGAGCACTTAACCACTAGACCACTGAGCTAACCGGTATCCAACGGTGTTAATGTCTAACTTCAATTAATCCACGAAATTGAGCGACACATTCACCATTTGTCTTCAATGAGTTACTATCTCCCAACAGACCTCGTTGAACTCCACTGATCACTACTTCTGATTCATGATCTTAACCATTGAAATTACTATAATATATCCACAAAACCCATCTGATATTAATCATTTATCTATTTTATTCTTTTTTTTTATATATATAGACTACATTATTCAATGTATTGAGAAAATGATCTGTTGTGTATATATATATATATACCTTCCATATTGCCTCCATTCATTCTAACAACTCACGTAATCATCATAAATATCAATCCAATTTCAATCGATTATATCCCAATATGTATATTAACATACATCATTATGATGATTCGATATATATATGGTTTATTTCTTTTCTTATCTCTATTGTACTATCTGTAAAAAAGGATTGGACTCATTGTGTCTGTGTTTCTGTCTCTGTGTGTATGTACTATGAACCCCTATTTTATTGATTATTGATTATGTAACATTGTTTCATTTAGATAAACAAATCATTGTAAAAATAAAAAAAACAACAGATTTTTCAGTTTTTTCTATAATCATGTTTATCATTAACAATATTTAAATAGTTTTAAGAGAGAGAGGGGGGAACTTCTTTAAAAAATAAAAAAAATTTTTTTCTCGTTGCCAAGTTTTGTTTCTATTTAAAAATATTATTCTGATATTTATTGATTAGTAGGATTAATTTTGTTTATCTTTTTTTTTTTAAAAAAATTATTTGATAAAATAATTAAAATTTTATTCTAAAAAAATATACGATTTTTTAAACTTGGAAACTTAATGATTGAATCACATAAATATTGGTACAAAGAGAGTTGTCCGGATGCCCAGAACGAAGCAGATGGTTTTCTTAGAGGGGAGGGATACACACGGAGCCTTCAACCTTGAAGGTCTAATCCATAAGGTAGCGGAGCAACTTTAGGAGATGTAGTCTCATGGTAACCGATCATCAATAATTGGTTCATATGTGATTTGATCCTTCAGAATATTGGAAACCATGTTCACTATTGGTTTATAATTAGGGTTGTCCAACTGCTTTAGATGGATCCTCCATACCCACCAAACTGATTAAAGCTCCGGACATTCTCTTTTCGTGTTTTCAATTGCGTAAACAACAATGATGCCGCGAAAATGCAGTGAGTAGGACTTCTCTGACAATGGCTGTATACTCGTGGCCATGTGAGAGCAAATTGAGACAGAGAGATGACTCTCCCCACCCTCGCTTGCTCGCAAGCAATAACTTCGCTATATATATATATATATATATATATATATATATATATATATATATATATATATATATTAATAATCGGTTTATGAAGTGGCGTTGGTGTTCACCTTAATGATTACAAACACCCTGGTAGTTTATCTCTGATTTAATAGCTAACTTTGCACACATATAATGAACATGTAACAGCTTGAACTCACACACAAAGGCTCATATTCTAAAATCTCCACAAACCCCTTCTGATAATAATCATCTGCTCATTAGTGACTCACTTCAAGAGATATTCCTGGAGTTCTAGTGAGAAGCCATTACCAGTGGAGTTCAACCAGGTCTGTTGTGAGATATCAGCTCACTGAAGACAATGGTATGCGGTAACGCAACTTCGTGGATTGGTTTAAGTTAGACATTGACACTATTGGATTCCGGCTCAGTGGTCTAGTTGGTTATATATATATTAATAATCGGTTTATGAAGTGGCGTTGGTGTTCACCTTAATGATTACAAACACCCTGGTAGTTTATCTCTGATTTAATAGCTAACTTTGCACACATATAATGAACATGTAACAGCTTGAACTCACACACAAAGGCTCATATTCTAAAATCTCCACAAACCCCTTCTGATAATAATCATCTGCTCATTAGTGACTCACTTCAAGAGATATTCCTGGAGTTCTAGTGAGAAGCCATTACCAGTGGAGTTCAACCAGGTCTGTTGTGAGATATCAGCTCACTGAAGACAATGGTATGCGGTAACGCAACTTCGTGGATTGGTTTAAGTTAGACATTGACACTATTGGATTCCGGCTCAGTGGTCTAGTTGGTTAAGCGCTTGGCGCGAGACTGTTAGGTCCAGGGTTCGAGTCCCGCGGGGTGCATGATCGTGGATACGCACTGCTGAGGAATCCCATACTAGTACGCAACGGCCATCCAGTGCTTCCAAGTTCAATTGAATGTGTATCACGGACGTACAATGAAAACTTACTCAGTACGACTTCATTAAATTATTATCAAGGAAACTAATCGTTAACATGATAATAAAGAGAGAATCTGATAAAATATCACAACTAAACTTTTACAAGGTGTATTAGTGTTTGTGTGCAAGTGGACAACATTCACTATTCTAATTAGTCTTACTCATTGCCTTCTCTCGGTGGGGGTGTTGTTTAAGAAATTGAGAAGATGAAAGGCGAATATCCGGCGCTTTAACGAGATCGGGAGACACTGAGGGCCCACCTAGGAGAGTTAGAAAATCCTGATTCGAACCATTTGGTGCACATGGGCTCCAAGATACTGATCGAACCAAAGGCGTATGGGCCTATAGTTTTTGACCGGCTACCATGGTACTGCATTTCCTAACGCTACTCCATTGCTTTGTGTATTAGACCTTCAGGTCGAAGGCTCGGTGTGTGACACCTTCATAAGAGCTGCTGCTTCTGTTTGAGCACCCTAGCAGTATTCCAGCCCTCACTTGAATGATTTATATAACACATATCTATTTGCTGCTTCCTTGTACCAATGTTTATGTTTTTAAACGAATAGAGTAAAATTGATCTTAAACTTATCAAGTGCTCATATTTTAATGTATAGATTTCCCAGAACATGTGAATCAGTCTTTTTATTTCACTCTACCTCTTTCTATAATGAACTCCCAAACAAACCATTTTAATGATGGTTCACTGAATAATAGGTGAGCTTGGAATGCTAAAGTAAATAACAAATTTAACGCATAATATCTGCATATCGATGTGCAGACAACAAAAGTTTTCATACAACTTTATCATTATAAATCTTCAGTGAATCTACTGATAAAGACTTTGTAGGCAAAGATGAATGGTGACTTATAGTGGAATCCAGGATGCGTGTTTCGTCCTATTTGGGGCTCAGTAGCTAAGTGGATAAGGCGATGGCATTTGAGGTGAACGGTACTGGGTTCGAGTTCCAGAGTGAACATCAACTCTGAAATGTAGGTATATGCAGCTGACAAGTCTCAAATAGGATGAAACGCGCCTCCTGGACTTCACTGCTAATCTTTCCTTATAATGCTTGTGAATTAAGGTAATACGCACAGTATACATATATGCCAATAAGAGACTGATCGATTGCATTCTTAAACATCAATGAGAAGATTCAAGTAAAAAATACCAAGTGAATGGTGAATTTTTCCATTAAATCATTTACGGCTATGAAGAATATGCAGAACGAAACGTTTAATATGAATAAATTCATATTGATGATGCTACATACTATAACTTGTGGGTTTGTGCCCCTATCAATATATGGCGTAATGATACCGCCAATTAGAGAACAGTGAATCATCAACTGGACCAATGACAAGTAAACCCGTACGAGCAGTCTACAGTCCTTATCGGTCCTTCTCCCTGCCTAGCCATACCTGTTAGAGTCCAGAACTTCAATCTCAGCCTCTGTGATATGAACCATGTGTTTTCAGCCAAAAGTGTGAATGTGGGGGACTGTAATTAATAGAATAGTAAATGGTCTAATAATAGTTCATAGGTCAAAATAAAACTTATAATAAGAGGAACACGAATATAAAAAGTGAAGTTGCTCAACAACTATGCAATAAAATATATATATATATAGTATTAGTCCAGAAATAGATTCCAACAGTTACCACTCATTAATCTCATCGGGATATACCACTACATAGTTATGTTTCTACAGTGCTATGATCGAAAAGTGATGATAAGTCTTGAAAAACTAGAAGACTTCATAAAACTATCAAACTGCACCACATTTTATTACTTCTGATGTAAAGTAATTTTAGTGTATACAGACTCTCCTCAATGTCTGAAAAGTGACTTTAAAAACATATGGTCATCTTGAGAAAACCTCAAGCCCATCTTTATGCTATACTTTTACTATTATCCTTATAAATATTATTTACAAAAAATGCGATTATATCATTTTCTAATCTAAGCATTCAGATGGATCAGGGCTGCTAACGTTTGACGTCAGAAACTAGGACTTCTAGTCAAGATACCTTGGTAACACCTTAAGTAATAAATATTTGGTTAAAATCTCAATATCGACTTAAGCTGAAAAATAAGAAACTCAAAGCATCAGTCTCATCATTCATCCAAATTTATTTGCACTATGAGTCGGAATTTCCATGAGGGTCCAAAGCATAGCACTAATGTCTAGAAATTCTAACCACTGGTTCCAATCTTGTGATTAGACAATGTGTTGCTTTTCACCAGGCTTCAACATTTACTGTTATGTGTGTGATATTCAGTACTTAAAAGAACACTTAACTAGAACAGAACGGTTACTTCATACGTTTCAGGTTTTCATTTTCGATCAGTCTACGTTGATTTCATCATACATCGCTTTAATGTCAGGAGTTGTATTATATGTGATATAGTCAGCGTTCAAAGGCACACAAACCGGAAAAGTGACTTAAACCATTTATTTCCATTGACTAGAAGGTTTTAATCTTAAACTCCTTTCTAAATAAACACACTACAACAACCGGATATTATATGCCTAGGATTTTAGATCGGTATCCAACTTCTAATCCTGATAACTTGTCCCAAAGTAACTGTCGAACTAACTAATTAGGCGTTCAGTATTGGAAACATGTGTATTTCTAATCGATATATGAATAATAAATTGATTATCAACATTCTATTACTGTTGAACTTGATTGAATTCATCTTTTTACAATTGAGTTTATATTGGTTGAAAATGATCTGTTTCTTGTTGGGATGGCCTCCAAGAACTACGATGGAGCCTCCACAGACCCTAGAAGAGCCGGAGAGTTCCATCCCATCAGAACGTAATGGAGCTTTTCAGAATATCAACATGGCATGCTACTATTCGCCAGTAGCATAACACACCTCTTTGCGAACTAGTTGAATAATAATATTGATTTAACAAACGCTAATATCTATAAATACCCATGATTTTCTGTACAATTTGATTCTTGCACAACAATCACTTT